TGCATGCATGCATCCATGCATGCATAAAGACGTACATGCATGCATGCATGCATGCATGCATGCATGCACACAAACAAGCTTACTTACAAGCATGCCTGCCTGCGTACATACATACATACATACATACATACATACATACATACATACATACATATCTGCATGAGATAGATAGATAGACTGATCTTTAGATAAGATTAGATTAGGCTAGACCAGGTTAGTTAGATTGAAATAGATAGATAGATAGATAGATAGATAGATAGATAGAAGTAGTGTGCGCATCTACATGTGTATGTACAGTATGTATGTATTTATATACAATATGTAAATATATTGTGTTTCCTGTACACATAAAACTGGTAGCTGTGCCGGCTTGAAAGCATCTTCAGCAACTTGAAAAATCGAACCAACCACAAAGCTCCAGAAGCCCTGAACCCTAAACCCTAAACCCTAAACCCTAAACCCTAAACCCTAAACCCTATCTCCTAAACCGTGGCCGGACAAGAAGGAACCTCAAGCGAGCTAACGTCTTAAACCTAACATTAAAAGCTCACAGCCCCAAGCCCTATAGTCTGCGTCGCAGTTCCGTTTTTGGGGTTAAGCCCATCTTATCTATACTAGAGTATTAATGTTAGAACAGGGCCATAAACATGAAAGTGGTTAGCCAGAAAAAGGCACTGCATCGGAGACTTCTGGGTAAACTCAAACCTACGAATCCTTCCCTTGAAGGGTCCAAGTACCCATTATTTAAGGACTTTGGGGCCTTTTTGGGTACCTAAAACCATAAATAAGGACTACTTGGACCCTTAGGGTCCCTTGAAGGAAAGACGGATTGTCGGTCAGCCGGTGGCTTTTGCCTAAACCCTAAACCCTAAACCCTAAACCTACGAATCCTTCCCTTGAAGGAAAGACGGATTGTCGGTCAGCCGGTGGCTTTTGACTTGAGCCTCGGGAAAGACACCCGACACCGTGCGGGGATGCCAAGCCCGCTACCTCTTAGGGTTTAGGGTTTAGGGTTTAGGGTTTTTACTATTTTGGGGGTTGTGTCTAAATTATAGTATAATGGGCCCCAGAACCCTATTCGAATTATTAAGGCCCCTTACATTACCTCGAATGATTGGTACGGTAAGGTTCAAGGGGTCACTATGAGGTTTACGATATTCTGCAAATTTTTGTGAGGTATAAGGTGCAAAAAGGGGCTACCTGCTTTATACATTTTCGAGAAGGGGTCACTGTCAGGTTCTGTGGGGTTTATGGGTGGGAACAAGGGCAGAGGCTTCAATTATTTCAGGAATTGGTATTTGGAGGGGATGAGGGCGGGGGTTTAGGACTTCGGGACTTGCAACTAGCCTCCATGGATGATGAAGAACCCGAAACAAGTATATCGTAAAGTCCGCCCACCGAGGAACCTCTCATAGTTGGGGTTTGAGTGTTGGCTGGTTCAGGGCGCCAAAGAGAAAGCAATAACGCCAATGCCGCATGCCCCAAAACTCGATGACACCAATACCTGAGAAGGGCGTTGACTTGTGGTGCCTTTTTTGGATGACCTTTTCCTACTGTGAGTGCTCTATGGTAGCAAATATTTCCGCGAGAAGAAACTCAGTCATTCTGATGTCTAATCTCGGAGTCGCAGAGGGAGCCCAACACAAGATTCATGCCTTCGACCCTTCCATTGCAGCGCTACCTGGTTGAAACCAGGCGACAAACATGCAGGCGTGCACGATGGAGGCCTTCACAATGACGTTTCTTTGAGACGCAGCCTGCCACGGGGTCATAGGGACCCCCTTTTGGGGCATATTTGAGTTCGTCGGGTTCCGGACTTCGGCCCTCTATCATCCAAACTTCAGGCTTCGTGGTTGGGGGATTTGTGATGCTACCGGGGTTTCCGATGGCTTGAGCTTGCGACTCAGCTACACTTGAGAACCGCCCCCAACTAACTGCCTCCTAATCCCTGAGCCCTAAATCCTACTCTGAGCAAAGACCCTAAGCTCTAAACCCTAAACTCAAAAAACCCTAAACTCAAAAAAAGGTGCTTAAAAAAAAAACCCTAAACTCACCAACAAACGAAGCCTGCGGCAGATGGTGCACGCTGCCATGCAGATGGCGCCGCAGCCGCAGGCAGGACCCAAGGGTTTCACGGTTGGTGGCTGGCGACTTGAAGGGGCTGAGATTAAATTTTGGCCTTAACAAAAAATGATCCGAGACAACATTGACGGCCTGAATAGTTAGAGAGAATATAAGGGCCTTAAGCCTTATAGATAATATAAGGGCCTGAATAATCAGAGATAATACAAGGGCCTCAAGTAAACACAGAATAATGAGAGATAATAAAAGGGCCTAAGGGCCTTAATAATTAGAGATAAATTAAGGCCTTAATAATGAGAGATAGTATAAGGGCCTTCATAATTTCAGAAGGCTTTGGGCTCCTCTATAGTACAACTAAAAGTCGGATTTGGCTTGTCGGGTTTAGCGTTTGCTCCTGTAGCTTTTGAAACCCCCGTCTAGGACATGTTCAAGTGGGGAGTTAGCGTTATAGGAGCCATATAGCAGGTCCAAAAACCTTATAGAAGCCTTATGGAAGCCCTATATACCCTAATCTCCCCGCCTGTAGTCGTTTCCTTTAACCCTAAACCCTAAACCCTAAACCCTGTGCGCGAAGACCTCAAACGGGCCTCTCCGAAGGCGTTGAGACAGGTAAAATGGTGTTGCGATGAGAGCTTTGGGTTAGGGTTTTCAGGGTTAGGGTTATTAGGGTTTTTAGGGTTTAGGGCTTTAGGGTTTTAGGCTTTAGGGTTTAGGCTTATTAGGGTCTAGGGTTTAGGGTTTAGCGGTTATTTTGGGGTCTTTGGCGCCGGGGTTGTGGGGCTAGGTGCTTGCTGGGTTTGGGGCCAGGGCACTGAAGAAGCTTGGATCAAGAAGAACCCGATCCTTTTGTGCAAAGCATCTTCTCTCTCGTGGTTCATGTGTGTTCTAAGTCGATTCTAAGTGTGATGGCTTCAAGTGTGGAGCTGGTCCAGGGTAGAGTTTTTCGAAAAAGTTACTGGAAGCTACAATGCTAGAGCCCAGTAAGAACTGCTTGTCAGCCAAGGGAACTGCTGTGGAGGGCACCATTAAGTCCTACAGCGACCGGCACGGCTACGGGCCAGGGGCTGAGAAACTTTCGGCCCCTCCGGGATGTTGGTGTTCCTAAACCCTAAACCCCTCAACTTTTAAACCCCTAATTGTTCAACCCTGGCATGCGAAGGTTGAGCATAAGGATTACCACTGCCCCGAATTATCATGGTTTGTGCGACGACAACGAATTACAGTTGTTAGAATATTGACAGTGTAAGCGCTTACAACTGCCGTACTGCCAGTTTCCTTAAACGCCACTACTCCAAGCCCAAAACCCAAATCATTTTGGGTCAGACTGCTTCTGGTGCCCCAAAGCTCCCAAGAATGTCCGCAGCCTCCAAACGAAGGCCTGCAAAGCACTAAAAGGCTACAACACTAGACCCTAAACCCTAAACCGCCCTAAACCCTCGACCCTAAACCCAAAACCCTAGACCCGGGGCCCTTGGCCTAAACCGGCCTAAACCCTACCAAGGTTTATTTCCTCGCCTTCTTTGAACAGAGACGCGCAGTTCAAGACCGGCGAGCTGACAGCAGACCTGCAGGTTCGCCTCAGAGAACTACGGCTTTGGGGGTGTTTAGGGGTTTAGGGGTTTTAGGGTTTAGAGGTTTTAGGGTTTAGGGGTTTCAGGGGTTTTAGGGTTT